CGGTTGATGGCCGGTTGAGATATTTGCGTTGCGCTATTGCGAGTCTTGTCTATTTTAATTATCATCGAGTGCTGCAGGCCGGCCTGATAAGCATTTACCCGCGGCGGAAGGCTATGCACGCGGTTCGATGAACGCATCGATAGCGTGGAAATGCGGGCGCGCTTTCGCCACCGCACATGCGGGCTCCATGCATTTACTATGCTGTTCTATGAAGCTGTGGTGATGCGTAAAGTTTGACCCGCGGCACGCATGTACACGCCGCGCCGAGAAGAAGGGCTCGGGGTGTTGGCGCAACGCAATGGCGTGAAGGTTCGTAACGTGTGACAAAATAATAGTTTAACGGCGCGCGGAATGATAACAACGATGCGGCATAGCGATCGGAGTTTAATCGAATTTTAAATTAGTAGCTTGACGCGTTATTTCCACCCGCCTTCGATATAAATACTTTCGCACTGCGTGCAATTGTGAAACGCCAATTATTCGCGAGACAAATTGCAGAATATAACGAAGAGATTCTTTCATTCATACATCGTGAGCAAATATACGAATACACCCTGGCGTGATCTAATGCGCGGTATTTCAATGTCTCACAAAAGATAGTAATCTAGTAATTCTCGCAAATAGCCTGATTAAGCACTGCCAGCCTCTCGCAGCTTACATCAATGCATTGTATTGTGAAACACAATATCGCATAAAGACAAACAGCAAAAGATAGACAACGCACCTCTGCTAGTATTCAGTTCTCGCGCGCTAATGACATGGTGTCATCATGCCAGAAAATTACGCGTATAATTCGACATATTTTTTTTTTGTCAGTTGTGCAAGAAGTGTTTAAATCATTTATTCGAAGTTCTCAATTATCGGATTTAAATTGAAAAAAAAAGTGTCAGCAGCAAAAAATTTTAATAATTTGTATATAATATCATTTCAATTCGTGAGAGAAAATTATATATTAATGAATTAATAACGCATAGCGAAATGTGTGTACGTAATAACGTAATGTGTTAAAATGTAAGTAAACCCAAAATCGAAAGCATACGCAATTCTAGCGTTACGAAAGAGAGCGCGCAACCTCGGTCGTATTGACAGTGTAAAGAGCATTATCGGCGACTCATCGGCGAAGTGCCAATCCATAATGCACGAGTCTTTCGCGCACAACGAAGCGTTTTCCAAGCTACATTCGGTTGCCTTGCTGCGCATTTCCGCAAACCACTTCGTGCGAAAATACAGCGTGAAATCTGGCACGATTCTGCCGGCGCGCCCAAAGTATTTCCGGTATCGCGAAAAAATTCGTGGAAATTTAAAACTCGCGAAAAATTCACCCCATTCACGCCATTCGCCACGCCCGTCACAAGGTTTGAACAACTCGCGATCGGATATTTCGCGCAATATAAAGCTTTTTAGTCCCGATATCACGTTACAGACGTCCGCAAGAAAACGTGGCACGAAACAAGGCACTGGCTCGAATCGACGACGGCGAATCAGATGAAGCGAATCGCCGCTCACGCGGACACATGTTTCTGAGTGTAAATCATTTCCTGGCGCGAATCCATGGCTATCGGCTGCCAGGACTTTCAACATCTTACTGCATGTTTCTTTGGGCGGCGAAACGTCGCGTTTCTAATTCCGGCTTAACGTCGCCTGCGCGAAACGCATACAGTGGTTGCCTTATAACGCGCGATACGACGAGGAATTCAATTTATCATCCAGTGTGAATCATGACGCCGACGAGCACGGACTTAATTAAATGAAGAGCACGCAATCGATGTAATTCAACGCATCTCGCGCGTACACGCGTCAAAGTGTACGCATTATACGTGGGCGACAAATAAAAAAATATAAAAGATAAAATCAGAAAGAAGGGAGAAGGAATTTTTATTATCCAACGACAGGTACGAATAAGCATCTGATCGAAATTGAGGCTTTGACGTAACCGTGGGTTGATAAAAGCCGTTTGTCTTTGCGGAAGGAGTTACCACGTGTGCGGCCAAATACCGACCGACGAGTTAAATGCGAATGTGATGTACGCGCGCGAAAATACGTGAAAATGCATACGAACGCAGATTCGCGTGCCGCATCGCGCTGCGGAAGCCGCAATAATATGAATATTTAGCTCTATAACGAAATTACGCAAAATTACGCGAAATCGACGCGTCCGATGTTGCATCGCAAAATTAGTTTCATCGAAACTCGTCATTGTTGCCGTTACTACGCATAAATATACATTGTGCGGTGTTATTCCGATGGATTTGGAAGCGAAGGGATTAAACTCTGAGAGCAAACGAAATTCGATAATCGTTCGAAAAATAAAAATAACTCGGATTTGCGCTAATCGTATTAAGTTAAGCGTGGGGGATATAATTTTTTCCGAACAATGAATTCTTTCGTCAATATCTCTACAATTTTAAAACCAAAAACTACCAAATCTGGAAAACCAATTACGGATGAGGAATGGATCGATCTTGATTAGACACATAAAATTCTAAAAATTTAAATAGATCGCACGTGATATTTTTAGCACAATAAATTCTCTCTCCAATCCCATTTTTTTTTCGATTTTTTATATTCAATTTCTATTTCCATATTATAGAGAACTAAATGTGCTTGTATAATAGCGAGTTTTATTGCTCTCATCAAAATTGCTCTCGAACTAAGAATCACGTAAAATTACATTTAGTGCTGTACATAGAATATTAAATTTTTAAAAAATCAGAAAAAAAAACAGAAAAAGCCCGGAACAGATTTGTTTTTTTCGCATTCATCCGAAGATATCGTAAACAATGCAGTTTTATGGTATTTCACGTAAAATCCACCATGGTGAAATATAAGTAGAATACGGTTATAGAAGCGCGTTCGCTTACCGGCAAAAGCCATTGGACACCAACGGCGCGGAATAAATGTGCCGTACGTATTGGATACTGTTGCGGAGTGTAATCGAATATTATTCATAAAATGTGTGGAAGCAAGCAGTACACTGTTTCATAAACATGACTAAAAGCTACGGGCCCGGGCAATACTCGCCCGGTAATATTTCCTGACACACAGCTTTGATTTCGAGACGAGAAATCACGAGAACGACTTTATGTCGCTCGAAACTGACTATATTTTTCCGTTTTCAAATTGCTCGAAACGAGAAAAATAATTGTTACATTCTTCCGCCCGCGGAGCATCACGGTATGCAATTAATCCGAATAACGAAAGTCACTGTGTGGCTTTTATGAAGCGTATACGGTCGCTTTGTATTATTGAAAATGGAATATGATTGATGAAAGAAGAATAGTTCTCGCAACAAAGTTAGCTGCGTATTACAAAGGACATTAAAAAAAAAAAGGCAAATGCACACGAATGATTAAATTGCAATATCAAAAACTAAAGGACTCTGTCATTGCTTAATTAATTTTCAACAATGTAGATTTCTCTTTTTATTTCCGCCAGGCTACACGCGATTGCAGCGCACATACAATCGGGTGCAAGCTGCGCACGTGTACCTTTGCAACAGCGATCGAAAGTTAAAAGAGGAACAGAGAAAGAGCGAGGAAAAAGAGAGAGAAAGAGAAAGATAGAAAGAGAAATGACACGTGATAGAGAAAAGCTCTGTACAAGCCCTTCTGTCTTGCTGTCGGTTTTCCTCTCTTTCTTTCCACAGTTGATAACCTCTCTCACTCTACATGCAATCGCAAATCAATGCATCACCTCTTTCTCTCTTTTCCTTTTTAACTCGATATAGCACTACGACGTAGCTACACCCTTCCCTTTTCTCGTCTATTTATGCATGACATTCAGCTGTCACACTCACTTCCTCCCCCCTTCTTTTTCTTTCTGTCTGTCTGTCTCTCTCTCTCCCTCTCTCTCTTTCCCTCCCGCACGCTCCATCTCGCGACGAGAGCGAATTCGTATTCATGTGGGTATCGCACAATGTTAAAGTCTCTTACCCGTTCATACTGTCGTCAGCTCCCAGCGTCGACGAGCCGGCGCGTTTCCCAGGATGGGTGCGAGGTTAGGTCGGCCGCCAGCACATCAGCCGCCACACGTCGTCGCTCGTTGCTCTCAGCACGGCTGCGTGTCAGCGGTGGAGCGCGCCGCGAGAAAACAACAGGTTGCATGTACTACCGCCGTCCCCGCCGTCGTTACCGCAAAAGATCGGCGCGAGCGGAGGCGAGCGTATCGACGAACGAGCGCGCGTACAAATGGACGGCGGATCGACCGTGACGAGGCAACGCGCGAGAAAACCGGGAAAGCCGTCGCGACGCGACACGGTCATCGACGGGTGCAAGCCACAGCGTCGCGCAACGCTCGGTTGCACGCGCCTCTCCCCCCCCTCTCGCCTCACCCGCTCGTTCTCTCTCGCTCTACCGCGTGCGGACGTTAATTCCACGAGCGTTTCCGTCGATCGAGACGCGTGCACGCGCGAGGCAGGGGAGCAACAGAACTAGCAGCGCGATAATGCACTCGCGATAACACGATTCTCCGAACGGAAACAAAGGTCCAGCTCACGGATACTTACGCCGGGATGCACCAAGTGAAAGATATACGCTCGCAATACGGCCGGCACGCCCGGGGGCGGAGGGGAACTGCAACTCGACGCGCAAACCACGAATCCGTGCAAACACTTACAGCCTGCGCTAGTTGCAAGGTGCAGTGTCGCATTCGAGTCGAGCTTTTTCGCGCAATGTGTCGTCATCTAGCGGTAAGGGAAAATAGTTAGAAGACTTGTTTGTGCATTGCATACACGAGAAAAAAAAATAAATATCATGAAGATAGCAAAAATAGATGTAAAAATCTGAATAAAGGAAAAATTCTATGGACGCACAATACAAATATTAAATCTATGTTACAATTTCTTACATCTTATTTCTAATCAGTTGCCTGGATAAATGCAATTGCGAATTGGATTTGTTGTTCACACACTTTCTGCATTATCAATCGTGAATAATTGCGAATACCTTGATATCGATTGTTCATATTTATGTACTAAACTTCTAACTTCTAACTATCATGGCCTCAATAGTTTATGACGCTAATCGTGAATACGCTACGCAGTAAATAGCATATTTCGTTTCTTAATGTATTTCTGTCAAGAACGCGAATTTTGTTTCGGGAGTGCCGATTATGACGGGAGTATCGATTATAACGGGAGTGTCTAAAATCACAAACGATTGCTGAAAATATTGTTGCAAATGTTTGCTTTCGTTGATTGTCAATTTACAGATTGCAACCGATATTCGTATCGAATATATTTTTCAATAGATGTAGTATTTTGAAAATTTAGCTTGTCGGAATTAAATCGAATAATACATGATTATTGTCACGTGTCAATTTTCATGTGACCGGCAATCATCGTTCGTTTCATTTGTTCTATGTGAATATATAATGGCACGGGATATGTAATGTGACAATAATTGGTTATGTTGACACCGTTGACATGTTGCAAAGTGAATTTTATCTTTCATTAGTGTTTTATGTGTCGCGGCGAAGTGAATTCGTGATGTAAATCTGTGATTTTCGCATAAGTGCAGTGTTTTTAGTAGTGTGCGTGAACAAATGTGCTTTCCAATATTTATCTGCATTCTCGAGCTAATATGAAGGAATTTACGGCAGGACAACAGAGCAGACAACGGGGCAAACTGCAATATCCTGGCTGGTGAGTTCAATTATTTGTACATTGTTTAAATATGCACATTATTGTGGTAATACAATATACAAAATTATAATTCACATTTATTAAATATTTAATAAAATATTTTTATTATTATTTCATTATTTTATTTTATTATGTCAATCATCTTTTATATTTTCTCTTGGCAGAATTTGGACGAGTTTTTGGTTCAAATGTATCATTATATTTTACATTTCCACAGATTTGTCAAAAATGCGATTGCACTTGGATAGGTTAGATTAAATAAATTAGACATCAATGTTCGCAGATTTAAATACGATTTTTATAACAATTTCTCTAATTATATTCAATTTTTGTAAATATTTCGAAAGTAGTTTTCTTATAATTAGATAAAATGTTTAACTTTTGTCTGATTCATCTATAAAATTTATTCAGTAAATGTACTGTTAAATAAAAGATATTTTACTAATTACATGATAAAAATTCTAAAAAGTTTGAGATATTATCTGACATTGCATACATTTATTTTTTAAAGTTTTAAATAAAGCTCGAATAATTGAGAAATCTTGTCTTTTGGCTCTCTATTATATCATTGTTTTAATTCTATATGGGGCCTTTTTAATACAATTTATTTTAATATTTTTAATATATCTGAAAGAGCGTATTCAGCTAGAGTACAACGACCAGTGAATGAATTTATTCATTACACTTGCATAATTATATAAAATATTAATATTAACTACTTTTTTCATTTGTTAAAGTTTATAATATAATTATTAAAAATCGTATTTTAATAATCACGCGGACACAATATTTTCATTTGCAATTTATATTTTTGCAATATTTTCATATTTTTTTAAGTTTGACGCGCTTTATCAAAATTGCTTAACATGCACAATGGCAAAAAATGTATCGATAAAATTTTCGAAATATATCGAATTTTGTCATAGTTTTTATATTAATTGAATAATAAATGAATATTGAATATTGAATATTGAATAATATTGAATATTTATTGCTCAAATCACATATTAACTGGATTCATGTCAGAGTATTTTATCTAGCGCTTTTATTTCATTTATTTCATTTACATTGTGACAAATTCTTCATATAAACTCATAATTTTGTATAAGAAATGCAATTGACAATCAATAATGCACGTAGTTAGCAATAACTATGGATTTCTATTGATTATTCAATTGACTAAATTCTAACTAGTGAGTACAATTATCTTTTTATTAATTAAATATGTACATAATTGTGACAACTCACACATAAGCAATTACATGCATAGACTGAATATTAAACTATATTGCGAAATCGATTAACTAAATCGATTAACTATTAGCCTTTTAATTGGTTAATATTTAATAATTATCATATAGAGTAATCCGATTACAATCCTTCATATCGATTAACACTTTTCCGCTTGGTACCGTCATGTAATAATCAAATGCATCGTTAACACGATGCAGGCCGAAAATCGCTGAGATGCGAGGACATATTATGCGTTCTGATTGATAATCTAATAAATGCTGCATAGTCTCCCTAGGCATGTGTTAAAATAATGTGACTACTTCATCCCTTTTTCATTATTTTATTGTTAACTTCTACCTGTAAACCAATGTGTCAGCAATCTTGTAATGTTCCGCGGCGACTACGAATACCGTATGATTCGACAACATGGAGTAAAAATTAGAACATTGTCTATTCCGAGCGCGTCCAAGAAAAGCGACGAGACCATCGTGCTCTAAGCTGAAAATAAAAAGATATATAAATACCTGATTTCATAACAGATTTTTATGCACTGTGATTTGTGTATTAATCACTAGAAAGTTATAATTCATGCGTAATGGGTGAAAATATCTTCTTGCGAGTTTTTTTTTTAACGGGTGACTCAGTAGTCTACTTTCCACGCCTCAACTTCCCTGATTTCGCAACACGATTTTTATTAGTTTTAATTATCTATATAAAGAAGTATGCACTAATTTTACAATAAAACAGCATGATTTCACCATTTGATAATTCTCTGAAAATACGGTCCGCCTTCGGTTTCGATTATCACGCGCACTTCTTCCTTCCCGCTGATATTTTTCAATTTATATGGCAAACATCGTTCATTTCTATTACGTATAATCGCCGCACCGAGATCGGTGCACAACTTTGCTCGTCTCGCGTCGCTACATATAGCTATTGGCTTAAATAAAAAAGGTATAAGTCTGTGCTCTGGTCTTATATAATTATTCACGAAATAAAAGTGCAGAATATTTATAACACACCAAAACAATGCACTCGATAAACTCTAACACGTTAATTAAAACAGTTCCAAACGTTTTTCGAAAAGAGGCGCACAGTTGACATTTTACTTTTGAAGTGTGAAAGTACAAATACCTTTGCTCCGAACACTTTGACAGCAAGATCAATGACGGCCAAAGCGCAGCGTGAGTGTTTCGCGTTAACGAGAAAGCACTCGTCTCTTTCTATGCGAGCTCGGCGGCCTATTGCTATTAGAGCCGAGAAATAATCATCCGTGATGGCCGCTGCGTTCTTGAGAGACACTCGTCTCATTAATCTAAACACGTCCTAGCGTTAGTAGATTTAATTATTCTCACAGTAAGATTGACGTGGCGCATAAAGAACAGTATTTACGAATTAACAGTGCAATCTTCGCAGTGCGAATTGCAATTTTGTAGTATCGGTGAAACCGACGCTATTCCTGCAAATCGACGCTTTCTTTTCAAAGCGGAGTGGACCTACTCTGTAATGAGCGAGACAGCTTTCGGCCAGACCGCCGCAGACGGGATAGTTGTGCACGACGACTTCCTCGCCCACGTGATAGCCTGTTCGCTCGTGTGCCAGTCTGCCCATTTCCAGAATTGTGCCCGATACCTCGAAACCGAGAACCATAGTCGGCCCCGGGATTCGGCGATGCTGGCCGCGCCACAGAAGCACGTCGCTTCCGGTCAGCCCGCAGTAGCGCACGTCCACGCGAATCTTTCGATAAGTCTTTCGTGAATGTCGCGAAGGCCGAAAACGAAATAACAGATTCGAGATCAAGACGAAGAACGAGCGGCGCGTGGCGCGTTGCTCGGCGCGCGGAGAAAGTATCTATCACTCGCTGAATTTCAGCCACGCGACTTTTAACCTTCACGGTCGAATCGATTCTTAAGTGAAAGCGAAATTTTCACAAGGCGACGCGCGAGCAGCACTGCGATGCTTTATAAATTTCCGCGATTAGGCCTTGATAGCGTGACATTATAACGTATAATGCAGCGTCAAAGTTCAACCAAGAGACTGGTATTCACTTTGCGAGTATGATCATCGTAATATATTTGCGTGGAAATTGCAATTTCCGCTTAAAGAACAGGAAATAGCAATTTGTAGCAGACTAGGGAAGAAAGTCGCAGGATTTGAATTAGATACAAAAACATTGAGTTTCTTCAATGAAACATTGTACATTAATTAACAGCAATCACAGAAGAGAGATATTTTTTTTTTACAACCTGCGTTGGCTGAATCACCTCTTCGGGGATGTACTCCAGTTTTAAATTACGTGGTCCGTGCAATACTGCAGCTCGCAGTTTTCTTCCGGTTTGCGCGCTACTCCGTTCCAGCTTCATCGCCTTTTTAATTTTTTCGAGATATGCCGCCAATACTTTCAATTTACTACACCGCAGAAATATCTTTGTGGTTATGACATACGGCTCGGCAAGCAACTTCATTATTTATAGCCCGCTATCTAAATAGTTTCTTATAAATTCCTCCTTTCCAATCAACCGGAAAAAGACGATCGCCTGTTGCACGGCCAAGGCGATCATTTTATAATTTTTACAATGTTTCAACTTCAATGTAAATTGAAATCTGCAATCTAGATACTGAATTCTGAAAAATGCAGTTTTAGTTACATCTCAATTTTTGCAATTTTTGTAAAAATTATTTTTTTTTAATTCACAATTAACGTTTTTCTTTAATACAATGACTTTATTACAGTGCTCTCTAATTTTCTTTTTCATATATAAAAAAGAACCGTTCACATCGTGTACTTTCAGCCTCTTGCATTATCTTGGCCGCAAGTAGCTTCGCGAGATGCTTGAAGAGCCCTTGGCTCAACCTCGGCGTAGGGCAGCTCTAGCATGCGTTCGACCTTCTATCCGCTTCTAAGATCCCCATAAGGTTGTTTATCTATTCGCTGCTTTTGGCATGTACATCTTGCATTCACCCCAAGCTAGACTTGCTCGTGGAGCAGGCACAGAGAGAGCCGATGTCGAAACGACCGAAAAGTCATTAGAGACCTCGCATTCTCGTCATAACTCACGCCTACTCGTTTCCTGCTCTCTGTGTCGCACCATCGTGCGTCGTCCGGCTTACTCTTGCCGAGATACTCTCCTGATCATGTGAGGCCAAATCGCCGCTATCCCGAAGCGTCTGACACCCGGCCGGTCATCCTTGCGAGGTCTTCCATCACGCTCGTCTTATATGTTCCTAATCGCATGCGCCAGCCGGTTCAGTTCCTTCCGCTTGTAAAAACTCGCGCGATCCGTGCCGATGCGGCGTTTGCATCTCCGACGTTGGACAGGATGTGAAATTACGCTCGTGCAATCCTAATCGGCTGTGGATTCAATATTGCTTGCGCGAGTGGAATGCGCACGAAAACGGTAGCGAGGTCTCACGATTCAAAGCGAGTGTCGGGCTGAAAAGAGATCTCGCTCTCTCTCTCTCTCTCTCTTTCTCGAGACTGCCATGCTTTTTATGGTACCCTTGGAGGCCAGGACGAAATTTGTTGGAACCTGCTCAAGCGTAACTAATTGACACGGGACACGAGCGAATGTCATACTGGGAGCCCGCGACGAGAACGATGCGGAACGCATTCATGATATCCTGATGGGGGTGTTCCTTAGATGGACAGCAAATGGCTGCCGATAGGACCAGTCAGCAGACCAGAAGCTTACGGAGAGTCCTGCATCATCATCTTGCGTTGCAGGATGAGAGAACATTGATAGTTCATTGACAGAAATGGGTGTCCG